TAGATATATTCGGTTGGATGGGAAAACACAGATTTCTGATCGGTATGTGACTTTTTTGCCAAAGACAGGAGAGAAAAAATGGATGTGTGCATGGAGGGGGGAAGGTGACCTAAAACCCTTACCTTTGTTTTCCAATGTATAGAATTTTGTGGCTACAAGGGCATTGAAGGGGTTTAATGTTGGATTTCAGATCACCTTAGTAAGGATGAGGCTGAAAGGTGAGTTTTAGATGGTCGGGTTACAGTCTTATATCTTGAAATAGAAACCTTGTGTCTTCACAAGTTCAAGGTGTTTTTGATTTGCTTCTGTGTCAGCATGCCATAGCAAAATGTAGATATTCCTTGAAAGTATAGTATATCTCTTTTACAATAGGCAGATAAGCCCCTTTGTTTCTCTAGGACAAAAACGTTTACTTTCTCCTTCACAGCTAGAAATGTTGGAATGCTTTCCTTGTATTTGAGCTGTGATGCTTTACTGCTGTTTCCTGCTTCCTGAGTTTTTTTAATTACTTTTTTTTTTAGATGCTCTTCATTTCAAAAAACTAGTTCTTGCTGTGGTATTACTTCCTAGTTACAGCTGAAATCTGTTACTTCCCTTGCATGTGTTACTTCCCTTCTGTAATTAGTGCAGAAGACAGTCATTAAGCTAAATCCTCTCTCTCCCCTGCTTGTTTCATGTACTTCAGCCTTCTCTTGTCCTCCAACATGCTTTTTGTATTCTGTGTTAATCCAAAATCCTTTTCCAAGCCTCTTTTCTTTGGCACCAATCCCTCACTCAGAGTATGTTTTCTTTTGTCACTGCTGATGTCTGGTGGTACCCTTTTTTCTTCTCTGTAATGTCTGTACTTTTGACCTGCTTTGCAATGCCACTGTCCTCCCTTTCAACTCTAGAGACTGTGTGGTGTTTTCCCCAAGGCCTGATGTATATTTTGTTGTGTTCTGCAGGATTCATCTAATAGATCAGTTCAATACAGATATGGGTATATTTGTATTCCTCCTGTCAACCAGAGCTGGTGGCTTGGGAATTAATCTGACTTCAGCAAATGTTGTTATACTTCATGACATTGATTGCAACCCCTACAATGATAAGCAAGCAGAAGACCGATGCCATAGAGTAGGTCAGACAAGGTAAGACTTACTAATTATAATGCTTGGCTTTTCTTGGAGGCAAGCTCTCAAAGGAGCCTAGAAGGATATTTTGTTATTAACAATTCAATTTTAAGCAGAGGCTTGCATAAACCATGTCTTGAGTTGTGTGGGAGCTAGGTAATTGTAATTGTCTTAGAACATGTTCTTGATCTTGTGGGGGAAGTAAAAGTTGGAGGCTGTCTAGGGCACAGTGATCGTGACATCATTGAGTTTTTGACCCTTGGAGAAACAAGGAGAGGGGTTAGTAAAACTGCCACCTTAGACTTCTGGAGGATAAACTTTGACCTGCTCAGAAGACTGATTGACAGAGTCCCTTGGGAGGCTGCCTTGAAAATCTAGAAGCTTTTTGTATTGCCCTTTCCTCCTCCTTGTTTAGAACTACCACCAGCTGAGCCAAGGTATAGCCTCTTTCCCTTTCACACTAATCCAAAGAAAGTATAAAAATGGATTTATCCCATTTTGTGGTTTTCAGAGAAGTAAAAGTCATAAAGCTAATCAGTAAAGGGACTATTGAAGAATCCATGCTCAAAATCAGCCAGCAGAAATTGAAGTTAGAACAAGATATGACTGCAGCAGATTCAGGTAAGTCTCTTGCACATAATGATACCTGCTTAAGTGAATTAAGGTTGCAGCAATATATAATTTGGAAATAAGATGCACACAAGCCTTCGTTTTTTCTCATGTTAAATAAACTAGAAAGATGCATTTGTTTGGTTTGTTGGGAAGTGCCCTCTTAGTCTGACTGCCAAAAATCAATTACAGACTCCTACAGGTACAATTTTGGAGATACAGACTTGTATCTGTTTCTGGGAAAAAATCTGAGCTGTATTAATGCTTCTTTTTATTCCTCAGGAGAAGAAGGAACCATTCCAGCAGATATAGCCACACTATTAAAAGCTTCCTTAGGTCTCTAAATTACAAATATGTTGTGGAATTCAAGGAGGAGCAGTGATGTTGTATCCCAAGGACTCTCACATTACTGATGACCATGAGTTTTATCAACATTTATAACTTTTTGTAGTTTCTTTATTGTATTCCTCATGGTATTTAAAATTTTTAATATCGACAGCATTCTTTTGGTGCTTAAAAACATAAATGACCCAAATGTGCCAACACTGGATGCTGAATAAACATTATTTACAGATCACTTTTCAAAACAGGGACCTAAGTAGTAATTGTTTTAACAAATCTCCTACTGCTTAAGATTTGTCAGTATTTTTGTAATTATTTCTACCTCCAGATATATATATATAAACTGTCTGTTTCACTGGATTATGCGTGTAGATTTTTTTATCTGTGCCTTATTTGACAATGTTCAAGTCTGTTTCTGCTTCGTTTGGTTCATTTGATGTACCGTACTGGTTTTGTATCAACTTGTTCAAATAAAATTCCATAGATTAACAAAATATTTTCATTTTGTTGTTATTTGGGGGTGGGTGTGTTATAACTTGCATATTATAAATCAAGCAGGCAGCTTTCAAACTAGCTGAAATGTTCAGTTGAAACTGACTTGGCTTTATCCAGCAGTTAACTGCTAATGTTTCATTATACTCTAATCACAGTTATGTTAGGCTGTTGATTATAAAAAACAATGCCCTAAACACAAAGTTTATGTTTTGCTCTCTTCTTGAAGTTTCAGTGAGTTTTGAATTCATCTCAGTGAAATGACTTTCAGTGGTGTCAGTGATGATGTGTGCCTCCACCTCAAGTCTGTAATCTGCTGGCAAGGATGTTATTTGAAAAAGTGGGAGAGGAGGATGACCATTGCTTTGGAGAGGGGAAAAGATGGTAATCTGGTCTTTTCAACTTGGAGTAGTTAAGATTCAAGCTGGTGCTTTTATAGAAGCTGGGGAGGACAAAGTATCGGGAAGTCCTTACAACCCCTGCCCCCTGGTAAACCCTCAGCTGCTGTATGTATGATTTGTGCAGAGCTCAGCAAATATATACTGGGCTGAATCTCTCAGGGGATTGTGTCCTAGAACTCACTCTGATTTGCAATATGGGGTTGGTTCTAAGCCACTGCTTTTCTGTATGTGGGTGCACATTCAGAAGACAGTTGTTGCATCTTTTGAAGGACCTCAAATGGTTTTATATGGAGACTATGGAAGAGGAGCTGGAATCCATGCTTGCTTGGTACTTCAGCCTGTCTTCAGATCCTGCAGGTGATGAATCAGTCAGATGATCTGTGAGTTGGGCATCCGTGTTGTTTGGGGTTTTTTTTGTTTGGTTATGGCTGTGGGTATTTTTTCTACTGTGCATGATTTTTGCAAGTACATAGTGGATGTTAATTCCAGCTGTTTTATGGAACTAAATAGTGGGATGTAACAGACAAGTGTCTCATGCAGCAGTTAATTTGGTTGTTTCTGTTGAGCATGATCCTAGTCCAATTCTTACCACATCGTATTTGCATGTTCTCGCCTGTTTGTTTCAAATGTGAAAGGAAACAAAATGCTTCCCCTATAGCATGGTCTGTGTGGTGTTTCAAAGTGGTATGGATGTGTTAACAGTTAATGTGTTCTGGTTGAGCACTGGTTACTCCTTAAGCAATCACATCCCTAGACTCCTGGGTCAGTATCTGCCTTTAAAGGGCTGTGACGGTCATATGTGTTTCTGTGATATTTTGTTTATTATAACTGTTTCTACCCTCTTTAATTGGGGCTCTTAAGAGACTGTAGAGTCACCATTGTTGGAGATACTCAAAAACGTCCTGGGCAGTTGGCTCTAGCAGGCTCTGGTTGAGCAGGGGCTTTGGACCAGATGACTGGAGGTCCCTTCGGCCTTAACCATTTGCGATTCTGCCTCCAATTGGAAAAGATGTATAACGGGGAAAAAATACAAGTATCTGAAGTCTTTTGCTGAAGAAGAGAGGTGAGTGGGATCTGAAGGGGAAAAATCTGAAGAGCTAGAAAAAAGCATACAAGAAATTACAAAGCAGGTGGAGATACAATATTGTAATGAGCAAAAGGAGGGACCTTGCATTCAATTCTGCTATTACCTGGTTTGTCTCTGAACTGCTAGTGGTCAGTTGGTGTCACTTGTAGTGGGAGGGAAAAGCAAGTGTGAAAGGAAATACCTTCCCAACAGTGGCCATTTTTAGCCCAGAGGTTTGTCCAGGTTTGTTGTGGTTTATCCATTTACACCACACAGTGGAGTCCTCTTGCAAGCACTTGTTCCCCCTTGAGTTTATGTAAACAGCATCTACAACTGTTTGTGTTGCCAGCATTTCCACCTGCCTGTTTCCCCCCTGGTGGAAAAACAAACTGTTGGTTCATTTATTCTAAACCCAGTTTCCCCCCCCTGCCACCACCACCTCCCAGATTGTCTCTTACTTACTGGAAGAGATACTGAGCTGCTGAATGTTTTTTGCAGCTGGTGTGTTTATGGAGAACTGGTGTTGCTGTGAGCACCAGCTCAGCTGTTTTGTTCTTTGTGTTCTGGTGGTGGTGCTTTTTGATTGCTTGCTTTTTGCAGTGGCACAGCATAAACTTAAAGGCTAAAGAAAGTGCTTTAAATTTGTTGACTAAGTGGGTCTTTTTTTTTTTTCTTTATTGCTTAGTGGCCTTAGTCCTCCCACACATTTAACCTCTGTTAATTATCCTGCTTTCCTCCATATTGAATGTCTACAATAAGCAACGTATTGTTGAGATGGCATCTCTCCAGGAAGGTTTATTCATCTTTTCTCCCTCTGAGAGCCCACAGAACAAAAACTCCGTTGATTAAGCACTTTATTAGTAGTAGGGGGCGATGTAGTTGAAAACCACACCCTTCCCTCAGGCTCTACTCTACTAAATGAGCTTTTTAAATTCTCTCTTATGAATGGATATAAGCGGTAGATTTTTATGTGGTATATAGCATACCCATCTGAAATTAATGTGATTCCACGATTAATAACTTAGGGGGTTTGTCATGTTGAAAACTAAACATGCGCGCTTTTTTTTTTTCCAGTCTGAACAGCTGATCTACATTATAGTCTTGGGTCTTTTCTGGATCCAGGCTGCAATAGCTGGAAGTGCTTGCACTCTGTCTCTGAGAGCCAAAAGCCTGGGGTAGTTGTCTGCCAGGTCAGGTTTGCAGGCCAGAAGTGTCGTACTGCACACATCCCAGTAGAAATCAGCCCATGTCACCTGGTAGTAATAGAAGGGAAAGCAGTAAATTTTAGTTGGTAATCTCAAGTGCTGGGACTACTAATATTTGCAGTATACTGGAGAAATGAAACATCAATTGATGTGTTTTCTGTAGGTTGTTTTTTTTTTAATTCTACGATCACAGAGCTAGTAATTAGGTTGCAATGCAAGGCATCCCAAGTAAATTGTTAAGTAAAAATTGGTGTAATAAAGTACTTGCTACAGGTTTTATTTATATTAATCATTC